TCATTCTATCATTTTTAGACTTCTTGTTTTAGTTCAAATTTATTTCTAATTCAAAGCTTTCCCCTCTGCCACAACAGTTCCCTTGTTTTACATGTTTGCTAGCGAATAAGCAATCCCCAATGTATTTTTCAGCTTAAATTACTAACTTAAGCTCACCTTTTGTTTCAAACTCTGAAGAATTTAAATAATAAGCATTAATCATCTAAATGAGGTTATTTAGTCCTTGACACCAAAATTCTGCTGACAACTGTTAACCTTTGTAACATTATTTTTTTTCTGGACTCAGTCCACAGAACCAACCTATCCTGTGTTCTCCTTTTCTGCTTCTGTATCAGTAACTTGTCTTATTTTTTTATTTACTTACTTATTTATTTTTGGTACCGGGGATTGAACTCAGGGCACTGAACCACTAAGCCACATCCCCAGCCCAATTTTGTATTTTATTTAGAGACAGGGTCTCCCTGAGTGGCTTAGTGCCTTGCCCATTGCTGAGGCTGTATTTGAACTCCTGATTCTCCTGTCTCAGCCTCCTGAGCTTCTGGGATTACAGGCATGTGCCAACATACCCGGATTAAAATACTACTCTTAACAGTTTGGTGTGTGTGTGTGTGTGTGTGTGTGTATACACACATATATATGTATATTTTTATTTATAAGTTTCATAGGTTTATGTGATAAACTGTTTTAATTTTTTTTGATATGTAGAATAATTCAGAGAATGAATAAATTGATAAAATTTCCTAAGGAGAGTCAGAAGATAGCTTTAAAAATTTAAATAGAATGGAAATCGTACTTTTATTCCTGACAGCTGCAGCTTTTTACATTTTCTTCATTTTCTTGGGATTTTTACATGAAGACTTTAAGTTTGGAAAAAAGAAATGCCAGGCATAATAATCATTGCAGAAATGGGTTCATAGGAATAGAATTATGGGGGGAAAAAAATCACATAAAGACAACTGAAAATACACGTCTTTAGTTCAGTTCTCAATTTGAGATATACTCATAAGGCACAACTGATTAACAATGATGTCCCTGTTTGAAAAACAAAACTAGCTCTTTTTTATTAATAAGCTATATAATTTTTATGATACATTTAACATTTTTGTGGTTTGTGTGGAGGTCAAATTTAAAAATTCTGGCAGGCACAGTGGCTCAGTAGGCTGAGGCAGGAGGACTGGGAGTTCAAAGCCAGTCTCAGCAATGGCAAGGCTTTAAGAACTCAGTGAGACCTTGTCTCTAAATAAAATCTAAAATAGGGCTGGGGTTGTGACTCACTGTTTGGGTGTCCCTGACTTCAATCCCTGGTACCCCCTTAAAATTGTTTTTTTAGATTCTGTACAGCAGGGAAGGAAAGAGAAAATACTAGAGAATGATATTGATCAAACTATGTTGTTATATCATGCACATGTACAAATATGTAACAATGAATCCCATTATTATATATAATTATAACATACCAATCAAAATATGAAAAATAATAGAGACGGTGTTTCTAAGTTTAAAAAAATCTGTGGGGCTGGGGTTATGGCTCAGCGGTAGAGTGCTCACCTTGCACATGCAAGGCCCTGGGTTTGATCCTCAGCACTACATAAAAATAACTAACTAAATAAATAAAGTTATAAAAAAAATCTGTGAAGACATAAAACACTTATAATGTGCAAAAATATTTCCATTTATATAAACTCAATCTAAACTACTGTGTCTTATCTGCTGATATCAGAAGCACTCCTTTACACCACCACTGCTAGGCATTTCTCTAACATTTTCTTTTAGTAACCACTTTAAAATACAGTACTACCTCAAACACTGACCTTCATCTCCAATTTCTTCTTCACACATTGGCACAGGATCTCTAAGTAATAATAAAGGACAGACAGTAAAATGGAGTTCAGAGAGAAAAAGTGGTAAAAGAGTGCATTAAACTTACTTTAGTTAGTCTTCATAATCCTATTCACTGACCCCCATCCCAAGCCTACACATCACTATCAACGTGAACCATATGGGCAGACTGGGATAGCAGAGAGAAATCTTTTCCTATCACAACAGAAAAATCTCATTTTTATCCTTCTTTCTGCTTCATTTTCATTTCCACTTCCAGAAACAAGTAAAGGAAAAATTCTCTTTTCTCCAACTCCACTCATTATCCAGTCTTCACTGATATTCTTACTATTCAATGACTACTTTGCCTCCTTTTCCATCCCAACCCAACTTCTTTTTTCTCCTACCATATCTCCTTGAAAAACCCATCCATGCTTCATATAGCCAACTCACCTAATCATACCTATCCAATGAATCATCCCTTTCCATCAATTTATACCCTTTTCCCTAACCTGAAGGCTATTGTGTACTTTCCACTTTTAGTTAACAATATTAGGTTTGAAAATAGGAGGAAAATATCTATTATTTCTATAAAATTTGAATACTGTTAATGATGAACTATCCAAATTTCAAGCAAGTTATTTTAACCTTTTGGGACTCGGTCAACTAATCTGTAAAATGAAGAAATTAGTTTAGTTAAGCACTCCAAAATGTAGCTAACAAATTTCTGGACTCAACTATAAGGATTCTAAAACTAGAGATCTGAGGTAGAATGCAGGAATTTTTTTAAAGGTACCCAAATGAGTCTTCTGATCAAAAAATTTAGGAATTATTAATAAATGATGAGGATCCTTTTAGTCTTATATTCCAAAATTCTATGCTGCCATTTTCTGATAAAAATTGTTATAAAAGGAGTACAAATGAATTAAATAGGCCTTTGTAGGCTGATCTGCAGCACAGTTTATATTTTCTTCTGATAACAGCTGACTTGCAACTTGTAAAATATGTTTACCAACTAGTGACCATAAATATTAAAATACTGAGTCCTTGAAGTAAAACAACAAAAATTATTTTTTTAGAATTATATGCCCAATCACTTTTTCACAGGATTTTTCACAACTAAGATTTGGCTCACATTAAAAACAAAGGTAGAAAAGGCATGCTCATTAGGATCATTTATTTTGCTAGTTCACTGGTAGGGCTTTGTATATCACTGGAGCAAAGCCTAGAGAAGTCTAGATCATTGAGAGAATTCGGGCCATTAAAATGTCTAAAGAACAGTCTCATTCAAATGTTTAGATTGCCAGGATTTTACCTGCCCAGAAGCACACTAGATCATTCACTTCTGAACTACACTTATATATTCTAGTTCTGGTAACTTCCAACAACTAATTCTCATTATAAACAAGTGTTCCCGTGGTTAATATTCTGGATTAAAGACATGTTACAACATGTGGGGACTAAGCAAGTATAGACAGCACTTAAAGAGATGATGACACATTGGCACTGTGTTAATTTAAGTGAACCTATTTATTTATGAATAAATGAATAATAAAATGATAAAAAGTAGAAATGGTAACTGAATTATATTTAAATCAGTTTTCTCTTTAAAAAGATACACTTAATTAAATTTGTACAAAATAGCACTATAAATTGCAGGAAAGTGTGTCCATTTATTTTCTCTATTTTTCCAACATAAAAATCTACAGTGAATGCCATTATGTAAGTGAATTCTTTGAATATCAAGAATGATGCAATTGTTGCTATGGTGACTACTCATTTTATTGAATAAATTGTGGATGGGTTCAAAGCATTATTTCAAAAATCAAATTTCAGTATATTAACTATGCTTGATAAATCTCTTTCTTTTGGTACCTATTAAACAATACTATAAGCCATCTTTGGTGATGACCAATTAAGTAACTTCTATTAAAAGCCAGGCTTGAGTTGCCAAGGAAAGAAAACTTCCAATAGTTTTTTAAATGAAACACTCAAGTACATTCAAAGAAACAAAGACACTAAGCTTTAACTTTCTAGAGTAATTGAAATGTACTATTGAAAAGTAACATGATCTCACATGTCTTTGTTCCTTCACTGTCATAATTTTGCTTCTAACCTAAATTATTAACTAAGTATAAAACTAGAAGGCTGCTGACTTTTCGGTTTCCAATTAAACTAAAACGAGAGCTAGTTCAAAGTTAAAGCAGTTTTGACAAAGAAATTTCTCCTAGGCATGTGAAAATACTGATGATTTTCACATTCAAAATCTTATAAAACAGTTAGGTACAAAGCCTATATTTTAAACTAGCAAGGGAAACTGTAGACTCCAACTACACGCATTCCTCAGGAATAAGGAAAAGTACTAAGGCTTCTCCCCTTGCTTATGATCTTCCATTAAGGGGGTTCCCAGCGATGGCAGGCTTCACCGGCATCTGTTTTTAGGTGGCTTGCTGGTTTTGAGACTACTCAAAACTGAACAGTATTTTGAGGATCTGCTCCAGATCTCATCCTTGCCTAACTACACAACACTAAGTATTTAAAGAATGGGGTGGGGGCATGACTGTGACCCGTTCCCCTTTCAACAAGGTGAAGTGCAGTCAGCTAAAAGGCCTGCTGACTTCGCAGCCCTCGAAGCCTAGGAGAGGAAGCTTGGGCATGGCAATAGGAAAGAGGTACCAGCAAGGGGGTCGGGCCGAGAGAGAACGAACAACAGGGTGGTCAGGCGCAAGGGAGAGAGCAGCATTTCAGCTTCTCTCCATCAGTCTTTCACAAATGGACTTACCTGTCTCCCTGTTCTACCTTCTCTTCTCATCTCTCTCGCAACGAGCGACCCCTACCTCCTGGAGAGAGAGAGTGTTTGTGTGTGTTTGTGTGTGTGTGTGTGTGTGTGTGGTGACAACAACCTCAGCACCCTGGCTGGGGACAGGGGTTTGGAGGGGGTGGGGACGCAGTTCCTCCACAGGCCCGGAACTCCCCCGAACGGCCCTCGAAGAAAAGGGGGCGGGAGGAGCCCGCCTGACGCCAACCGAGGGCTCAAACCCGGCCTGGGAGACCAACCCTGGCAGGGGCTGACGTGCAGCTCTTTTAGGTTTCAATGGTGGCCTTTCGGGGAGGAGGAGAGAGGTGACAAGGGGCTGGGGGTGATGTGGCCTCCCCTCCCCCTCGCTCGGCTGGCTGTTTACCTTCTCGATACTTCTTGCGGAGCCGCCGGTGGACGCTCTTCACCACCCCGGAGAGCTTCTCCTGCTCTAGCTTCCGCTCTTGATCCCGGGGCTGCGGAGTGCTCGGGGGCCCGGCCCCCTGCCCGCGATCCACACGTCGACCGTCGGCCCCTGGCTCCATATCGCAGCCGCCGCCACCGCCGCCGCCGCCCCTCAGGCCCCCGCAGACGCTCCCCTGACGGAGGAGGTGGGGAAGGAGGAGGCAGCAGCGGAGGCAGCAGCCGGAGGAGGCAGAGGAGCCGGAGCGACAGCTTCGGAGGTGGACCCTTAATCAAACGCCCAAGCCGATTGGTGGACTGTGGAGGGCTGGGCGGAAACGGAATAGCCCTGGAACCAATGGACAGAGAGCGGAGGCGGCGCACCCGGTTGTTTGGGAAAGCGAGCAGCTGGAGGAGGCGGGGCTCACAGGCGGAGGGGTGCTGAGGCGGTGGGAGAGCGAGGCCCAGGGCGCCCATCTACGCCGCCCCTCCCCGGATTTTGTGCGCAGGCGCAATGGTGCGGCCTGGGGGATTCGCGCAGTGAGCAACGCGCTTGCGCATCTTAATTTGCTTAGTTTGGGCTTCATTCTACCATCCAGGTTTTGCAGTTTTGTGGCTTTTCCACCCGCTGTTTTATAATTTAGTGTCATTCTGCCAGAGTCCTCTACCTGAGCCTTCCCTGCACCCTATCACATCTATGCAGATTTCCTTTAGCTTTCTAGATACTCTTTACAATGACTTGACATCACCGGAATTTTACATTTCAGCTGACTAAGGCTTACATGCTTTCTTTGGCTCAAGAAGAGGCCAGGGTACCAAAGGCTGGTATAACTCACCCACCAAAAGTGATTAATGCTACTCTTGATGGTTAAAGGACACAGAAAATGGGGAAAGGCAAGGCCAAGAAAAGCAATAGGAGATGTGGGAGGACAGAGATGGAAAGACAGAAGGCCCACAACTGATGTTCTTAAGAACATTTGACAAAAATGTTGCAGGAAGCCTGGCCTAATTCACCTCAGAACTATAAGCGCTTTAAAAGTCCACTCAGGTGACCTCAGGACTAACCTCTTTAATATGGAAGGTTAGTCTTTGCCCAGGGTACCTAAGTGGGGTTAGCAACCTGCTCACCCTTCTCCACTTCTTTTCCTACTCTTGGGAAGCTCTTGCAGAATATGATTGCAGACTTCTGCTCCAGAGAGCTGGAACACTGCTCTCCAGAAGAGACTGCAGTAGCACCTGAAGTGGTACATGGGGCTGCTGAAGTTTCAGAGATCCAATAGGCAGAGAATCATGAATGAATTGTGTTAAGAGTGTGAACTATGTCCTCATTACAGTTGTGATTGTATGACATTGTATGGAAATTGTTACAATGAAAACCTTTTGATCAATGATTTTAGAAATCTGAATAAAGTTCACATTATGTCATTGTTTCATATGCTACTTTCTGGATAATGAAGACCCTGAAGAGCAAAGCAGTATCCTTATTCTTTAGATCACAGAAGTGAAAGGAGATTGGTGGAAGAGTGTCCCTACCAGCACAGTGAAGAGGCAGATCAAACAGAGACAGAGACAGATAACCTTCAAAAGAACTAATTATAATTTTAGAAGAAATCAGGAGGAAGTACCTAATATATTGAGACTGTGGTGGTCTTATTTGCAGGAATTTCATTTGGAAAGAAAGGAGAGCTTGAATGGCATACCTGTTTTGTTTTGTTTTGGTTTTTTGTTTGTATTTTAGCATATCTGGGAGGCAAATACAGGAGAAATATATTATAGAAAGCATTAAATTTCATTTGTATTAATTGATAAAGAAAGCTTTCCTCCATATTCCTAGCAAACAAATTTTAATACCTTTTAAAAATTAAAGATGTTAACTGAAGGAAATTTGGAAAATACAGAAAGAAGTAAAGAAAATTAAAGTCACCTGGAAACCCACCACTGAGAGAAAAAAAAAACTATTGATGGTTTTTATTTGTTTGTGTATATTGATGAGATATTTATGGATGGCTATGATAATCTCCATTATGAATAAGCTACAATGTCATCAGTTAATCCCCAGTTATTGTATATTTATATGTCTCCATTTTTTTTTCTGTATTCCAAATAATCCTGTGTCAAACACTTTTTGAGTAGGGCTGAGGCTGTAGCTCAGTGGTAGAGCACCTGCCTCGAAAGTGTGGATACTGGGTTCCATTCTCAGTGCCACATAAAGATAAATAAATAAAGATATTGTGTCCATCTACAACTAAAAAATATTTTAAAAACAAAAACAAAAAAAAAACACCTTTGTACACAGGTTTGCCCAGTTTCTTTAATAATACATTTCATTAGGCTAACTCTCTAACCAAAACAGGCATTACTGAATCAAAAGATTGAAAATATTATTTTTGATGTATATTGTCCAACCTCATTTCCCAAAAGATGGGGCAGTTTATGTCACCTCTGGATGTACCTGTGGATGTCTATCTCACTGCACCCTTTAGATTAAGTATTACAGTTTACAAAGTCATTCATGAGATTTTTTTTAAAAGGCCTGTATTTTTAAGAAACAATAGGAACTTTCTGTAGTTTCATAACTATCTCTTCTGGCTGGCATAATCTTTAAACTAGAAGAACAAATAAAAGGAACTTATTTAAATAAGAAGTTATTTAAATAAGAACTTATTTATTTAACTTAAATAAAAGGAACTTATTTACCTAGAGTCGAGCAAATTGAAGAACACCATTTTTTTGTTTTTTGACTTCTCACTTTTTTCAGAAGCAACTCAAGAATTGTAAGTTGGATAGACAGATTTTATTTTAAATTTGCGTAAAATTTAAATTCCTTGGTAAAAAGGATTCACTGAAAGAAGATCTTTTGACACCATATTAAACCATATCCTATGCCCAGAAAAATGTCAGTATTTTTCCCTACATATAGTGGCAGTTTTTATTGAATGTAAATATCTTATTTTAAGAAATTCATTATTATCATTATCATAATCATTATTTTTATTTTGTTGGTGCTATGGATTGAACCCAGGGCCTTTCAAATGCTAGGCAATTTATCTACCACTGAGTTGCATCCACAGCTTATTACTGTTATTTTAAATGACCATTAGGGAAAGAGGATGTTGGAATAAAACACTATTCACTGTGCAACACAAATCAGCCTGGGAGGAAAAGGCCTTTCTAAAGCACTAAACTGCAGGTAACTCAATTTATCATCATAATTTTTGCTTTACCTAACAACTTCTGAACCCTCTTCCATGACATTTAGTGTGTCATAGAAAATTTCCTGGGTCAAAGAATCACTTCGACAAGTGGTAAGAAAAAATACTTTGACCTTTTGGTTTACAGTGATATACCTTATAAGAAAAACAAGTTTCTATAGTTGATGGAAAGAGTCAGCATACTATAATAACAAAGTATTTCTATTCTCAATGGAAGTTCAAAAAATACTAATCAGTAATGAAAGCAAACTTTTAAAATCCCTCTCACAGTCTGGCATTTGGCATTAAGTTCACCAGTAGGTTTTGGGTGCACCCTAGAAAAGTTTAGTCTATTTCATTCTGCGTTTACTGAGTAATCCTGTAAAAAAAGAGAGAGAGAGAGAGAAGACTACATATTTTTCACTAATTTTTAAATATTATCTACTATTTTTTGGCCTTCTTTATCGTCAAAATCCTAAAAACAATTACGTTTTAATGTAGTATAATAAAAGTATAAATACTAAAGATATTTATAAAACATATAGCAATGTATATAAATGATGCAAAAAAAGACTTATAACTGAAGATAAAGCTACATTCCAAATTGGACAAATCTTTAGCTCATGACGTTTTATGGTTTATATATGAGAAATTCCCCAAAAGCTCATATGTGAGACAATGTGAGAGGGTTCAAAGGGGAAATGATTAGGTTGTGAAAGCCTTAAACTAATCAGTGAATTAATCCCTAATGGGATTAACTGAGTGGTAAAAACTGAAGGTAGGTGGGGTGTGGATGGAGTAGGCAGAGCATTGAGGGCATGGCTTTGGGGTTTATATTTGTATTTGGTGAGTGGAATTTCTCTGCTCTCTGATCATGTGAGCTGCTTCCCTCTGCCACACTCTTCCACAATGATGTCCTGCCTCTCCAGGAGCCCCAAGGAATGGAGTCAACCTTTTATAGACTAAGACCTCTGAAACCATGAGCCCTCAAACTTTTCTACCTCTACAAGTCTTCTGGTTGGGTCCTTTTATTCACAGAAGTGAAAAACCTGACTAAAACATGATTATTTAGAAATATAAGTTTTAGAAATTCAGCTAAAATGAGGACTTGAAAAGTAAAATCAATGTTATCTGAAAATATTTACCCATTATTTATATACTTCTTACCAATTAATATAAAAATACCAATGAAGTTTAGGATCTGATTTCTATGAATCCACAATTTTAAAAGGTAGATATAACATTTGTTGGGTACATCAAAATCAAAAATAATTTTGCTTGTTTCAAATTTTGCAAAAATTTTTTTGGAAAATGTATTTTTTAACTTAATGTTTTGATAGAAATAAAAGGGTGGAGCAAGAAAACATTTCATTGGTATATTCTCATCCAGTAAGGCAGATTGCAAATTTAAACCCCTTCTATTTGTGAAAAAATAGGATTATTTACTTTAAAAATTATGTTTATGAATCCAATACGTCTCCTGCAATTCTTAATATATCTGTCAGCCTGAAAAATCTATACTATTACACAAAGATTAGCTACCTTGCCAATCTTAATTAAGATACACAATAGTCAGGGTAGTATTAACTATAGCATGTGATAACCATTAGTTAATTCCTAACTCCAAATGCAACTATAAAATTTATAATATGTTTGTGATATACTAATTAATGGAATATATTCAACATTCATAACAAGGCTAATACAGGGATAGCTCTAAATAGAAAATAATGTTAAATTATTCCCTTATAATGAAGTATACAACTTAGAGATTCTCTGTGTTCTGATTCTGGTTTTGCATTAACCACCAGAGAAAGGTACTTCAGTTGTCTGAGTTTGTTTTTTTTTTCCTTTCTCTCTCTCTTTGTCAAATGTACAAAAAAGAAATTATATTTGACTAGTGTTTTTTAATTAATTTATTTATTATCTTTTGTATCATGACTTAAGAACAAATACATTTTACATTGGGAATCAGTATACTTGGACATATACTGTTCACATTTATATATATATATATATATATATATATATATATATATATATATATATAAATTTTACAAAATA